CCAGGAGCAAAGGGCTGGGCCCACAGAGCTGCAGGTGCCCCCCTACCCTGGGCTGCCCGGGGGTGGGGGGGGGCTGTGGTGTCAGCTGCTGTCAGCTGCAACGCTGGTTCTGCCCTGTCTCCCTGGTGCCAGGAGCTGACTTCACCTCCCCAGGGCAGGCACGAGCTGGGATTCGCTCCCGGGGCTCCTGGGGCTGGTCATGGCTGATGCCCAGGTGCCCCCCACCACAGGGTTCAGCTGACTCCTACACCAGCCGCCCGTCCCTGGACTCCGACGTGTCCCTGGAGGAAGACCGCGAGAGCGCCCGGCGCCAGGTGGAGAGCCAGGCCCAGCAGCAGCTCGACAGAGCCAAGGTGCCAGCACCAGGCATGGGCACACGGCGCAGTGTGCCTGCCATGGATACAATCATGGGGGGGCAGCAGGGAGTAGGTACACACATGCACACCCATGCTCACCTTCCACATTACACACACATGCATGCACACACATCCTCATGAACATTCGTGTACATAGGCACAGATGTGTGCAAGCACATACATGCGCGCACCCCTGCGCACACATCCCCATGCACACACATATAAGTGCAGGCACATGTGCAGATGTGTGTACACCTCCCTCACATACATGCATGCACATCCCCACATACACACGTGTGGAAATCTCCCTATGCATGCGCACACACTTCTCCCCACACACACACATACGTGCAAACACCCCTGTGCATGTATACACACTCCTCTACTCATGCACATATATCCACCCACATACACATGTGCAAACACTCCAGGCATGCACACACACACACACACACACACACACACACACATGTAAACCCCCCATGCTTGCATGAACATCCCTACACACACACACACACACACACAGAGCCCTCCATTCATGCACACACACCCCTCTACATGTGCTGTCGTGGCCTTTCCGGGGGGGGGGGCCACGACAGCAGCGGGGGGGGGGTCTCTGTGCAGCAGGGTGCAGATGCAGACAACACAGAGTGGGGGGGCAGGGACCCCCGGCCTGTACTGACCACCCTCTCGCCCACCCCCAGCACAAGCCAGTCGCCTTCGCCGTCCGCACCAATGTCAGCTACTGCGGCGCACTGGATGAGGAGTGCCCGGTGCAGGGTGCCGCCATCAACTTCGAAGCCAAAGACTTCCTGCACATCAAGGAGGCGAGTCCAGGGGTGGCAGAGGCAGGGGGAAGGCCGGACGCCTGGGTACCATCCCCTGTGGAGGGGGGCAGCACCCACACTGCCCCGCCCTGCCTCTCCCCCTCGCTTCCCCCCAGAAATACAGCAACGACTGGTGGATCGGGAGGCTAGTGAAGGAGGGGGGAGACATCGCCTTCGTGCCCAGCCCCCAGCGCCTGGAGGCCATGCGGCTCAAGCAGGAGCAGAAGGCCAGGTGAGGACACAGGCATTGCCTGTCTGCTGCAAGGGTGCCCCTCAGCTGCCCGCCTGCACTCAGTCACTGCTGCTTCCCCCCCAGGAGACCAGGCAACGCCTCCGGCCTCAGTGACATCGGGACCCGGCGATCGCCTCCCCCCTCACTAGGTAACCGAGGGGGCCGTGCTCCCAGCCACCCTTGCACACGCGTTCTCACGCCTGATCCCTGCCAAGGGTGCAGACAGCTGGGCCCTCTGCCCCGGGCACCCCCCCAGCGGGGCACAGGGCTCTCAAGTCTCCTGCCCCGCCCCCAGTGGCTCCTAATTCACTCACCAGCACCTGTTTCTTCTCTCCTCTCCTCTCCCCAAAGCGAAGCAGAAGCAAAAGCAGGTGAGTTCTCTGGGCACGGAGGCAGTGGGCACTGCCAGCCTGAGGGCAGCAGGGATGCTGTGCTTCTGGGATGAAGCTGATCCACCTTCACCCAAGCCAGGGGCAGGAAGGGGAGCAGAGATGCCTCCACCCAGCTGGGAAGGGCAGGGGGTGCAGCTTGGCCGGGATGCCTGGGTCCTCCAGGGCCGTGGAGGGACCCCAAAGATCTGGGGCACCAATTCAGGG